GACCTCAAGAATTGAAATTTTAGTTCCCGATAGAATAAAATCTTCACGTCCAGGTGGTTATCAACCTCTCCTATTGCTACCATTTTTGAATGAGAGAATCAAAATCTGCGTAGCCAACACACTGTTAGAATATCTCACGAAGACCAAGGAGATAAGAGCCAAAGAAACAAGTTTATTTATAACGTTTAAGAAACCCTATAAAGCCGCATCTCCTCAAAGCCTAGCTCGATGGATCAAATCATGTCTTCAAAAAGCTGGAGTTGATACTAAACAGTTTTCAGCATATAGCACCAAACACGCAGCAGTCTCAACAGCTTCCCTAAAAGGAATCGACATCGATACGATTCGACGAACAGCAGGATGGTCGAACAAATCGGATGTCTTTACTCGCTTTTATAATCGACCAATAACATCTGATCAATCTACGTTTGCTAAATCTGTACTTAATGCAAATTAGCATCTTTCTAAATTGTGTTCCCCCCATTTATTTTTTTTCCCTCTTTATAGAAAAATAAATGCAGGCTTTGTAAAAAAAAAAAAAAAAAAATTGTTAAACTCTGAACATCTACAAGTTCAAATCTCGAAGACGAGGCTTGAATATAATTGGACGATCAAACGAACTTACCTGTAAGTGATGTTCGATCGTGATTATATGAAAAGCCTCGCCGAGAGATTCACTCCCTCCCGAATCTTTCAACCCAACCCAAAAATTTTTTTTATAATTAAACTCTAAACTAATGAAAATCATAAAGATGGCGTCGTAGAGGTCTCCTCTCCCCATTTTTTTTACTGGCTTTAAAAGTGTGACGACATCTGGCCGCGCGGCGGACTACTACAAGTTCAAATCTCTCGACGAGGCTTTTCATATAATCACGATCGAACATCACTTACAGGTAAGTTCGTTTGATCGTCCAATTATACGCTAACCACTACGCTATTCGCTCGCTTGCGGATGTGAGCATAACAACGCCAATATACAATACCGCTAAACAAAAACTTATATATAAAGTGAATAATAATTTTTACTCAAATATTTTTCAATATATTTTAGCATTTTATTTATATTATGCAAATAAATTTAAAGTTTTATTATATTTTTATTTAATCTTCAATGTTTTTAATATTTATCTTTATTTTATTATTTAGGAATAATAATTAGTTGAACACTTCACTTTATAACTATTCGAAATCAATACAAAATTAACTAAAATAAACATTTGTAACTTACTGCGTTTCATTTATACTTTATAAATGTTTTTAAAAAAGAGAAAAAGATGAATGTAATTAATTTGAAAGAAATATTGAATATTAATTAACACTCACCTTGCATAGTTAATTAAACATTTCTTTTATTTTAATTTTTAATAAAGAATATAATTTGGCCCGCACTGGTTGCCAGACGGACGAATGCCAGTACAACGCCGGGTGCTTGGCGGGTTGAAACCTGCACCGAGCCGGACGCATTTTGCAATAGAATGGCAGTGGGGATGTACTTTCGGCTCTTTAAAAGTTAATAATACAGAAAATGTTTAAAGCATGATGGATTAAATTTATTATTATTAATTTTTATTATAAAAAATAGCAAAACTTGTCAGATTTTAAAAGATATTTGTGGTAAGATTTTTAAAAGCGAATTTATAAAAAAAATTATCCTATATAAAAATAAAACTAATTTGAAAACTAGTAACAATTACTATATTCTAAGCATATTCTTATTAATAAATTAATAAATTAATAATTTTTAATTTACTTATTTATTGATTTATTATCAATAAATAAACAAATAAGTAATATTAAATAAATCCAATCAAATTTATTTAATATTACTTATAATTTATTTATAATAAATGAATAAATAAGTAAGTAAATTGAATTAATTAATATATTAATAATAAGATAAATTATATAGTTCTCAGTCGGTAGAATGCCTGTACCGCTCGGTCGTTAGACGGACGAATGCCAGTACAACGCCGGTTGCTAGTTGGTATAAATTTTGATCCGGCGGTCGGATCAAATCTTGTACCGCGCCTGTACTGCCGACAGTAGAAAGACTGTATCGAACGTCGGATCCGACTTTGTACCGCGCCAGCAGACATTCTCATCCGAATCGGTACAGACTGCCTGCACTGGCATTGACTCTCCAATTCAACCGGCGCGGGCGCTAGACGGTTGGACGATCCGGTATTCGTCCGACTTTTCCGCCTGGGCCACTGTAGTTAAGCGAGGTTTAAGAAACAAGTTGATTCAAGTATACTACTGTTTTAAGGGATTGAAAAACTAAAAAAAAATTCTTCGTAGATGTATAGTAAATTAACCAGTTGACTGATAATGAATCATATAAAATAAACAATCAACCATTACAAAACTATAATGTAAAAACTTGAATAACTTGAACAAATTTTAATAGATTTTCATTCAACTTGGTAAAAAGAAGTTTTTAAGGTTGCTGAATAAGAATCTTAAATCGAATTTTTAAATTTCAAAATGGTGGATCCAATATGGCGGTCAAACATAAACTATGACTAACTGACTAACACGAAGGAGGTATGAAAGAAGATCTAATTTCCTTTTCTATGTGATTTTACATTGCCAAAGTAATGAAATTGTGAAATAAAAGCAAATTTATTCAATTATTTTCTTTTAAAATGTAAGTTGAAGTTCTGTTTACATTTACCCCGCGAGTTTTCGAATTCTCGGGGTAAATGTAAACACTTAATTATTTATTAACTAAATTGACGAAAATCAAAAATCAAAGTCAATTTTTGTTAGGGCATTAATAAGGAAGAATTACATATTTTTGTTTGATTTTTAAATTTATTTTTATGCAAATGCGAGACAAAATACTGAAACAGTAAAACTTTGATTTTTAATCTTTTTTGCATTAAAAGATAACTTACACTATGGCATTGCCAATTGTCAAAATAAAATATTGGCAATACTCAGAACATCTTGTAGGTGAGCTAAGGTAAAAATATTGACGTCATACTTATTTTTAAATTTGTAAATTTAGCTGAAACATCTACTGTTTACATTTACCCCAAATGACCCTATTATTACTATTATTATTAAACTAGCAAAAAATATTTTTCTTAATTAAACCAATAAAGAAGATTTTAATTAAAATAATAAATTATTCTATTTTTAATTTTATATTTCAAAAATCATAAAAGCTGATCAAATATATCTTCATTTTCATTACTTCTACACAAAAGTACCAAACGAGATTATAATTTGTGTCTATTGACAGGAACGTTGATTATTCTACTTTTGGACGATGAATTGAAAAGAACTTCTCAATTTTAAAGAAAATCAATTATAAAAAAAAATACATATCATTTGTGAAGCATTGCCAGATTTATATACAAGACTGCACATTTTGTGCTTCAATTAAATATTAACTGAACTGTAACAAAATAAGAATCGACACCTAGTTCTATATTTAAATTACGTATTTGTTGTTGTTCAGAATAATTATTCTGAACAATTATTGCAGATAATTATTATTATTGCAGTTAAGTTTAATGAGATTTAAATGAAGAAAAAAAAAGTATTCTATTTTTTTTACATTGTTACACGATAAAAGTGTTATTATTGTGATTTATATTACGTGATTATTAACATACCAATATGTTTAAGAATATTTTTTAATTAATAAATTCATTTTTTTAACCACTGCTCAAAACGATTCAATTTTTATTTAAAAAGAAAATAGTATATAAAATTTTGATTGTTTAATATTTAAAAAAAAATTTAACATAAATTTTTCTTCAACTTGAAATTTTTGTTAACTTGAAATTCTTTTTAATTTAATAATTTTTTTTAATTTAATAAAATTTCTGTTTTAATTTAGTAATTTTTTACATGGCATATTTGTCAAGAATTATTTCTATCTATTATTTTATACAATTGAATAATTGTTTAAATTTTTTTTCTGGTTTATACGTATTTAAAATAAGCTTTAGTTAATAATTTTTATTAAAGCTAACACTTTAGACATAGTATAAAAATTTATAATTACTGAGTGATAGTAGAAAAAAAATTATTTAGTACTTAAAGTCATGTTATTCAGTGGTCACGTGTCCCATATACTATAATATGGGAACACGTGACCACTGAATAACATAACCTTAATGCATGAATTTGTATAATATATATATAAACTTTAAAGTTCTGACAATGGACTTGGCATAAAAAGGCTCATGATTTTATGTACATAAAATAAAATGTAATATAAGAAAGAAAAAATATCTGTTGTTGCAATTAAAAATCAAAAAATAATTGCAAAATCCATTGTAAAGACTTTATATATATTAATTTTTTATGAGAGTTATTTCATTATGTTAAGATTTATAATTTTTAGAAAAATAAATAATTGTACTGGGTACAAAAAATTCGTCATGTTAATTTTTTTGTTTTTACATATTTATAGGTTATTTAATCGCATATAATTTCTTATGTAATATTACAAATAAATGACTATATTGATTCATTATCTTTTGTTTTCTTTATTACTTATCCTCTGTTTGAATTACTTCTATTATTCCTCGTAAGTATTATTTGTTTCCGGTTACAATTATCTGCATGATGAACAATTTTTTTTTCTTTTCTTCTAGGTACCTACTTTTCAATAAAAATTATAGGCAATTATTTTAATTTTTAATTTTATAATTGAATTTCTTTCTTTCTTACTTTTTTATTTTTTTAATTTTATTTCATATATCTCTTTTATTTTATTTTTTATTTTCCTACTTTTTATTTTAATTTAATTTTTTCATTACTGATTTTTTAATTCTATTTTATTTCAAAATTTATTAATTTTTATTTATTGTATTCCAAATTTATTTTTTAATTATTTTTATTTCTTTAACGGTTTTCAATCATTTTTTGTTGTTTATTTAAAAAATAAACAAATTTCAATGAATTGCTTATAATTTTTAATAATTAATTAAAAAAAATTGCGAAACAAATATTTATTTCTAATTGTCTATTTTCTCAAATAGGAGCAGTTTGCGGGATAGTAGACTTTATGGGTAAGTTTCCCTAAAGAATTTAATTGTTTGGAAAATGGTCTTGCAACAGTTGCATAAGATTTTTCTGATTCGTCTTTTGCATGACTAGGTTTTTCTAATTCGTCAACTAATCCGATTAGCAGAAAGAATTATTTTTAAGGTAATTTGAAGAAAATTAATAAAAATTTTAATATTTAGTTAAATTTTAGTTGGAAAGAATTAACCAGATTTTTATAATTATTACTGTGAATGTTTTATACAAATTTGTATATTTTATTTATAAAAAAAAATTTATATAAACAATCATTTCAACTATTATAAAAAATTAAAAGAAAGGTCGTGGGCTCGTATCCCACCATGCTACCGTTTTTTCTGAGTTCTTTGATAATTTTGAAATTATTAATTAATTTCGAAAATATTTTTCAAATTAAGCAGGTTTCTGTATTAAATAAATTGAAGCCCATGAGCTTATCGAGATTTATTTAAGATATTTAATTTATTTGTGTAGATTGATTCGGGAATTGTCAATGAATTATAAAAAATATTTTTATTACTATTAATTAACTATTCATAATTTATAATAACAAACAATTAATTGTAAATATAATAATTAATGTCTTTAACTAATTAATTAATATTAAACACTAAATATTTACAACTAATTACCAGATTTAATAATTAAATTATTTAAATAAAGAAACTAATTATTTAAAATTCACTATTTTATATTCAGGACATTTTTAATTAATGAATTTTTACCTTAGAAATAATTCTGATATCCTTTTCAGCAAAACTTTATATAGTATACAGTTTCAACGGTACTAATTTCTGACATCAGAAGAATTTCCGCTAAACTAATTCGACCTGGAAAATTAAGATTTGAAAAATACCTTCTGACTTTCACAAACATTAATCAACTTTAGAAAATTAATTCAGAATTAAATTGGAAAATAAATTTAAAAATGAATCAATTCAAAATTAAATTAGAAAGTAAATTCAAAAATGAAGTAATTCAAAATTAAATTAGAAAATAAATTAAAAAATGAATTAATTCAAAATTAAATTAGAAAATAAATTTTAAAATGAATTCAAAATTAAACTAGAAAATAAATTAATTCAAAATTAAGTTCAAAAATGAATTGATCCATCTGAATTAATTAATGAAACTAAATTAAGAAATTAACTGAATAGTTGAAACATATAATCACCTTGCCTTCAATTAATTTTTTAATTTAATTACTCAATCAGTTTTCACAATAAATTTCAAAAGAACTAATCTATTACTAAATTAAATACCTAATTGCGATGATTCAAAATTTGTTTAAAAAAAAAACAGCACGAGAAGAAAAGCTCATTTGACTATAATTATCATATAAATAATAATTATATCATATAATAATTATTATAATATAATTATCATAACATTACGAAAATTGGACAAAAAAAAATATTCTCGTTACGTTAAAAAAAATTAGTCCAATTACTAATTGTTACTGATATGAAGAATAAATATTAGTAACTGTAACTAGACACACATAGGAAATATGCGAAATCCAAATTGTGGCAGCATTTATCATCTCCATACTCTCAAAATTGTCCGAAAATTAATATTTCTGATGTCAAACAGATATATAGATGTATATATACTTATATCAATAAGAAAAGTTCTGCTTTTGCATCGAATTGACATAACTCAGCATGTTCTAAATACATGTTTTCGAGTTCAAACCGAAATCCTCTCTTTGCATATTAGTCAAGTCTACAAGCCCAAAAATATGGTCTGAAAACATGCATGAATATTTTACTCTGATGCTGTGTACCTCCAAAACAACCTGATTTACATTTCTTCTGCTGTAGTCAAATACATTTCACAGTTTCTATATTTATAAAAAAAATTCAGGGCTATTATGTGCAATTTCGTTATGCTATCTAAAATCAAATTAAATAACATTTTGAAAAAATTGCAAAAAAAAACTTTAAACAAAAACTTAAAAACATAAAAGCCCCGATTAACGTTTTATAAGAATATGTAATAAATTATTTATTATTTATATACACAGAAAATAAAAAAGTGTTATTTTAACACCGAATTTGGTGTTAAAATAACACGCAACAAATTTAACCGTCATAGGTGGCGCCACATTCTATGTCGTTTAACATTGGTTAATTTAACACGCAACAAAAATCACACCAACTTTCTTCTAGTGTACATATTATAATAAAATAAATATATTTTTTATTTTTTTTGGGTAGAGCGGGGCTAGTTGAGCATAGGGGTAAGTTGAGCAACCGAAATATCTCAGACACTATATACACTGGCTGCTAATTTTTTCAAAGCCAGAAAGAAGCAGGCACTTGCGCAGGTATGTCCCCTCCTGCGCCTGCTTCTTTCTGGCATTGAAAAAATTAGCGGCCAGTGTATAGTGTCTGAGATATTTCGGTAGCTCAACTTACCCCTATGCTCAACTAGCCCCGCTCTACCTTACTTATTGTAAACCGTGATTAAATTTTTTTTTAGATTTTTGGAAAAGTCAAAACATTTATGAAAATCTCCCAGGTAGAAATTTTAACTCTGTGACCAGATAAACTGTTCAGTCACTTGTCAGAGACTTGACGGCTTATCTTGTCAAAATTTAGAAAAATGTAAACTTTGGTAATGTGACAGTGAAACGATCATAACTTTTATATAAAGTTACTTTAGACCTTTTTGTTTTTGACCGTATGGAACATAAAAAAATTATTTTTAATATCTAATTATAAATGATTGACTAAGAGTGTATTTTTATGGGACTGATGCATTGTTTTTTCCTTAGTAACTGGTCAGTTTCTGTGTCCGCAGTTTCTTTTTTTGATAGTGTCAAGATTTTCTGGCTAGAGATTTGGAAAAATCTAGAATAATTCTTTTAATAGGATTCGGCAAGTTTTTCTGATCAGTGGTGGACCAGTTTTTCTAGGTGGAATCTTAAATAATTCTTCAAATCAGTGACTGGTCAGTCAGTGTCTGGAAAGAAGGTACTGTAATACTGTTCACAACGAGAAATTGAAGGGCTACATAAAATGAAGGGTGGCATGACAAAAGGGGTCAAGCAACAATTTCATGTTTTTACAGGAATCGAAAATAACACATTTAAAAATTTTTCTGATCATTAAAGAAAGATCTAAAAAAACAGTTTAGAGATATTATTTCGCTTTACCAGTAGAAATACAATTTATGAAGATAAACCTACATATTAGAGAGAAAAATAAGTAAAAGTGGACCATTTTGGGGTTACGTCAAATGTGCATATTTTCTTATAAAATTAATTGTTAAAAAAATATACAGTTTAAAGAAAAACTGAAAAATTAGTTTTTTAATATTGAATTAACGAATTGAATGCAAAAAAGTTTGCTTCAAAAAAACTGTTTGTTTTCAAGAAAATTGTTAATTAAATGTTAACTTTTGAAAGTAAACAGTACATAAATTTTCAAAAGCAAACTACAAACAGGAATATTTAAAAATTAACAGAAGAATAATATTTAAATTATTGAAAATTAGGTAAAGAATAAAACTATTTCTAAATAGACAAAAAAAAATTCAGCGAAATTTAATATATATTAAATTATATCAAAAAGAAAGCAATATTTTTAACCATATTAACCTATTCATAATAATATTCATTTCTTTTGTTTTTAACCGAATTGCATTGCAAGTAAAAATTTAGGCTATTTTTCATTCTTATTTTTATTAAAAACGAGTTTAAAAAACAATTTACAAAAAAAATACTTTTACAGAACTGTGCAAATGAATTTACTTGATTTTTTTTATGAAAAAATCTCAATTTCGAAAAATTGTTGCTTGACCCCTTTTGTCATGCCACCCTTCAAATAAGGGGTCGAACGCGTGGTTGAAAGGGATAATATCAGTCGGGTAGCAGTGACAAGCCTTGAGCCGCTCGCTGCTACCTGACTGATATTATCCCTTTCAACCACGCGTTCGTCCCCTTATTTTATGTAGCCCTTCAATTGTTTTTATCCAGTGAAACTGGCCAGTCACTTATTCAGGACTGGCCAGATTGTCTTAGCAAGTAAAACACGCTCTCAACTCTACAGCTACTGGAAGGAAACAAGTAATAATTGACAAATTTCTACCTGGGCTGTAGTTCACAACGATCCAAAAAACCTAGCGTTGCCGCGTTAATGGCGAGAGACGAAACGAGACGAGAAAACCATTACACGAGACAAGACGAGACAGTGCTTTTTTAATTATCGTTAAGTCGATACGAGACGAGAGAGGAGTCACGAGGACGAGAAAACGTGATTTCAATGCATTTTTAACGCTCGAGACGAGACAAGATGATAATGCATAGGATTCTCGACGCTTGAGACAAGACGATAAATCGCCATAAAATTACGAGACAAGACGAGATTGATAAAATTCTCGCCTCGTCTCGTATCGCGGTAACACTAAAAAACAACACTTTTAACCGTTTTTCGAAATTTTAAATTTTTATACCTGGTTTTTATAATAACACATTTTTGCATCATTTAAGAAAAAAATTAATAACTGGTAGTCAGTGAATATCCACTCTTTTGAAATAAATTTAATTGTGAAACAAATTTTGAAAATTTTTTAATTTTTAATAACAATTTTATAAACAATTAGTATTTTTTACGCTTTCTAGAGCAAGGATTTTAATGAAATTTATATTTCCAATTACAACCGGAGATTTTAAATTTTTGTTGCGCCGTGCATCGACCGTCCGTTACGAATTCCTGTTCAAAAATGTCTACAGCCTACAATTTTTATCCGATTTGAGTGTTCTATGTTTTAAATTAAAGGGTAATAAATTCTTAAGACATCCCTCGAGGCCGGTTTTTGAGTTTATAATTGTTTATAATTTTTTTAAATCAAAGTTAACCAATTAATACAATTTTTTAAAAAAGGACGTTTATTCTCTTATTTCATTGCTACACATGATCTAAATCCGTTCAAATTAATCCAATTTGACCACCAAACAATTAATAAAGCATAAAACAATTTA